CTATGACACTAGTTGCAAAACCTCTTTGCTATATTGCATCCAAATTCATAATTTTCGTTTTAGTTTTACAAATTGTTTCTTATTCAAACAAAATCGCTTCTAAGATTTCTTGTCTTCATACTTGCTTACAGCCTGTAATATTGCCAAGGATTGTACAACTTGTTTAAGTCAAGACGATTCGTTTGGTTGTAAATGGTGTCCAATGGTTGGTAGATGTTCCGATGGCATTGATTTGCTGAGACAAGAATGGCTTGGTCAAGACTGTGACAGAAAGGTAAAGAGTCTTGACAATATACTCAGAAATTGGCACAATTATCTTTAAGAAATTTGATTTGTTTGATTAGGGAATTTTGAAATTTTATGCAATTTTTTTTAATCATGAAGTTAAAACCTTCTTTAAAATTACTTTATTTAGTAACAATAAATGAAAACAAAATTAAATTGCAAAATATGGGAAATCGAAGCAATCATAAAAATCTATGCACAGTTGAAGTTGTATCATCTTAGCTAGCCAAGGGTTTCCGATCCGAAATCTACTCTACAACCCTTGGCAGATTTGGCTGAAAATTTCAATCTTGCGCAAACGAATTTGAATGGCTGTGAAGTCCAAGTCTACGCAAGGATTTTACTTATCAAAGGTTTTCGACTGAATCAAATTCTGTTCGTGTTTAATGCAAGAAGAGTATTATGTACAAGGGATGAGAGTTAGGACGTGAAGGATTCTAAAAAACAAGGGAGTTATAAAAATTCTTTTGATTATATGTTTTCAAGAATTATTGAAAGGACCACATAGTCAGTGTTTCGCAATTTAGTGCATCAATTTAAGCCAATCAAATGTCAAGGGTCATTGACTATAATTGATACGGCAACATGAAGAAAGTATTGTCAACTTTTGACAAATAATCACAAAGAAAGATATTTTCTACCAACAGCTACATGAGGTGTTGGGTTATACTCCACATCAAATTGCATGGATATCGCCATATTGTTTAAAACGTCATAATGATTCACGTCTGTTACGGCTATTTTCGTTGGACAAATATGACAGAGCTTCAAGGGACTTAACTCAATTCGACAATAGGCGGCGCAAATAAAGTTCCCTTTTGATAGGACGAAATCTGCCAAGGGTTGTAGAGTAGATTTCGGATCGGAAACCCTTTGGCTAGCGAAGATGAAGCTGTATCTGCATTTGCAAAATAAATTATTTCAAGCCAGATGGTGTGTCACTTTTCGCTACCATGCCTCAAAGCATTATTGCTTATAGAAACACTAGAACTGAAGACTTACAAGGGCACTACAAAGCGGAGTATTCCCTTAAAAAGAACACATCTATAAATTAAATAGCATTCGATATCAATCCCGATACAAATTATGTTACATCCTATTTAAACAGCTTTTAATACTCACTCACTCATAAACGAGCACACACAATTTAGTCACTATATAAAACCTCTCCAACTTCCTTGCAAGGAAACAAAGGTGTTAAGTGGCTGAACTTGTTTTGATTCAATGAATTGTTTCATCAAATTGTTTTCTCAGGCATTTGGTGACTCAGCCGAGTGCAATTCTCCTGTAAAAGAACCCGAAAGCAACATCCTTTCACCATGAATACAAAGTATGATACAGACACCACCGTGTTCCCCGGATAATAGCGACGATGGTTTTACAAATCATTTAAGTATAAAGAACTATTGCTCAAAGTAAAAATATGACATTCTATTGGTTTTGATTTATTATTCAAATAGCAATATTTGCATTGTCTAGAAATATTTGCTGTAAACACCACGGAGGAAGCTTTTTAGTGTACATGTTGTGCAATACTGAATAAGAACATAGAGAATGTTTTTCCACAAGAAATTTCTTTTTTCGAGTTGAATTTTTACTGAAGCGCATTGCTACTGACTAAATTGCAGTGTTTCTTTTTACATATATACTTTTTGCTATTTTCTACGATATTTTACAATATTCCTCAATACTCAGTATTATTGTTATTAAACTGTAATTATTTTTTAAATATGTCAGTTTTTTTCTTAAATAATTTTTAAAATTCTCACTGTTATAAACCTGTAATGGAATTACTCATCCCGGACTTTTTTTTTTGTTAAACATTCAATGCAATTTTTGATCAATGTATGGTATTTTTCAGTTTAGAATATTCATTGCTTTGTCCCTTTTTGTTCGTTATTTACCGAATACTTTAAAATAACCTATTTTTGATGGGACATATGTTCGTGGCTGAAGAAATGAACGATATTAAGATAGCATACATTATTCAATATCAAAGTCCATTAAACAATACAACACAGGAGCAAAGCAAACAAGGACCTCCAAAACATCAGAGGGGGGATCAGGTGCCATGGAGTAGAGAGCATCCCCTGCCATCCAGTCACACTTGCCATGTGCTCCTTGTCATGATCAAGAAATAACGGGAAAATCCGTCATCAATTCAGTGTATAAATAATGAACATTAATATAAAAAAAACGTCAGTCAGCATTTGACTTAATGCAAAAATGTATTTGCTGACAAGGTCATTGTATCGACGATAAAACTTACAAAATGATGACTTTAAACGAGACTGTTAATATTCTCGTTTCATCAACTTGTTTTGCCAATTATTTACTTCGTTTTAGAAATTGATCATACATAGAGCATGCTCTTACGTAAAGAATCATCTGAAATATGTAAACTCAGTATGCAGGTGATGAAGATGTATTGCTGCATAAGTAAGGGAAGTTGACGGTAGAAAAATTAAAGTCATCACGTTTATCATAGAGCTTAGGTGTTAGATTACCATGGAGGTCTTTTGCAAGGAAAATATCCAAGTATTAAACAAATGTGTCAGACCCTGTGAAACTAAAATAGGAATCTAAATATATTGGTTCGTACCTCGAAAACCACGACAATCAAACCCCATTTAAATTCATGAATTCACGGTAGGTATCTAGTTTGTGGTTTGATTATGTACCCAAACGTACGTTGTGCATATGTATCACACATAAGGAAATGTCCGATTGGTCAATGTACGAAAATATTTTGAGTGTAGATTGATGATAGAAATAATGTTAAATTTTCTTTATCTATATGCTATAGTAGAAGCTTCAGCGGTGTTAAACTAATCCTTACAGAGGTATAGGGCTATTATTTTCTTATCATATACCCATTGAAAACGATACACATTAACATTAACTAAAATCACGTTTTAAAAATTGCTTTGCTTTACATTGTTCAATGTAGTATTAAACTCCCGGATTAATTTATAATACATGTAGTGTAGAAAACTGTTGAAAAAAATGACACATCTGTTATATACAGAATAAACTGATACTGACATGCATGTAAATTTCATAATGGCAAAATATAATGATGTAAATTCGTTCATTTTTTTTTTTCTTCTGAGTATTTGTATCATAACCAGTGATAATGCACCTCACTACATACTAAAATCATGTAAAATGTGAACAAAAATTTGTCATAAATCAACTGTATACATGTATCAGTTTTGAATAACCCATGAACGCTCTGGGATATCATAAAAAAATATGTTTAGAGTATACGGATTCAAAAGAGGATCCAAAGGATGATGATGTGATTTATCTTAATTTTGAGTAGTGGTGCCATATTTACATCCCTTTGTCCATTTAGTAAAATTTGGTACCGCTCTAGATTTAGAAGCCCTTTAAATATAGTTATGAGCGCAAGCGGTACATTTTTCTCCTTGGAGTGGTCATTGAATTTCATTTAAATCTACCTTTACATAAAAAGTGAAAACTGTACCCACTGCGCTCAATTGTTGTGTAAAAAATATCGTAAAACACAGCTAGATTTTTCCATTATCAACCGATTGGCTAAACTGTTTTGTCTATCGTAAGAATAAAGAAAAAGTTTCACATTTGCCTTAATTGGCCCTGTGAATTTCTAAAAAACCGAAACTGCATAATTTTACTTAACAATGCATTGAATACTACTTAAATGACGTAATTTTTGGCTAGTCAATGCATTATGACGTCACGAAATACTTCAATTTTCTCATATTCTGAAAAAGTCTACAAAACGACTAATTTTTAAAGCTATTTTTCGTTATTTGATATAGCATGCAACTTCTGATCTGAAATATGCAACTTGTAAATAATAGAACTTTCTCTGAGGATTACAAACATGGTTTAGTTTTTTAGATCAGAGAGTTCGCACATATTTCTTCTTTGAAAGCACTCAATTATACCTGTTAACCTAAAAATTCAAGAACATTGGAATACCATATAGCTAGTTCTCCAAGACCTGGACCTTTAGGAGAAAAAAATTAATAGGATATGAAAGCACCAAGTCTCTATCTTATCTAAATGATCAAATTGAAAATCAAGTGTTGATTAATTAATTGGTATATATACAGTGTCATTTTATGCATAAAGTGAACCGGCTTCTTTAAAATATATAGAATTTTTGACTTTCCCTTCGGTTGATAATTTTTATCCATTTCAGACTTATATAAGGCACGAATCAACGATTTCACTGTTAATAACATAAAAAATGAATTATTTCTAAAAATAGATTATAAGGGTTTTAAAGGCATTTGATGAGCAATTGGCTGCATTTTACATTTTTCTCGAACGCTTGTCAATACTAGTAGATACATCTGTGCATATCTTGACCCAAATCAGTACGCTGGGGATTCATGCATATAATCATGAATAGAAAAGACTTTAAAATGTAGTAAAGATTTGTAAATAAACATTAACTAAGTATTTGTGATAATATGTTAGCGTAGTAAAGCAGTCTGATTTGTTATTAAGCTATTAGTTTGGACAAACGGACCGTTAGACAACTTGACGACCGGACAAAAAAAAGATGAAACCTGAAATCCTCATCAGTTTCACCGTTAGGATACTATAATTAATGAACTAATAAAACTAACATTGCAAAAAATGTATTCATTTGATATTTGTTCCTAAATGATCTTATGGGTTTGGTAGTCTTAATTTCAACAAAACTTATTACACGAAACATGTTTCATCTTTTAATCGACTTATGCAAAGTTTATAAAGCATATAATAAAAAAAGACGGAGGTCTTGTTCTTTTTAACTTTTGCCTCTGATATTTACATAAAGAGAATATATACTTAGTTTGTCTTAAAATTTTTCATATCCGATCTTTTTATCCGGAATTAAATAAAAATCAGTATTTAAAATTCATTCACACTCATGGTGGAAAAATCCTCATTTAGCCCATTTCTCATTTCTCTTCAATTTTTTCCACTTCCATTTCCTCAGGTGAGTTTATTACATTATAATAATCAGCATTCTCTGATTGTAAAGTGTTCAAAGCCTCTGATTGAAGAACATCGTCAATGGCATCATCTACTAAATCAATGTAAGGAAACACGTTAATGTAAGCGTTAGGGTCTTTTTCGCTGTGCACTACCTCTACGTATGTTCTGTCTGCATTGTCAGGATCTATATATGGTCCATCTTCGTGTGTTAGAGTTAGAGTAGTTTCTCCTGGTTCGGGCAAATGTTCGTACCCCTCATCTTCTTCCTCTATTATTTCATAGTCGGGATCGGAATACGGACTTTCCGGATTGGTTAATTTCATTTCGTAGGGAGGAGAGTCCTTTGATTTTGGAATACTTGGGAGGCGCATCAATTCTTTTCGTCTTTTTCTCATTGTTATTGCTCTAAATAATTTTTGGGGGAAAAAATCTTTATGTAAATATAGTTTCTGAATTAAAAAAAAATTAAATTATAGTCAATATTTCATAAATACATAAATTTTATGTACATTAACTCTAATATTTTCTGTCTCACTGGTTCTTATGGAGAAGAATTTTACAAGATGATAGTAACTTTTCAGTAATTCTTAATTATAAGTCGTAAAAAGTGAGTTTGGCGCTTCATGTCGATAAATTTGAAAACTCTTCAAAAAAAAAAAAAAAAAAACAATTATGCTAAATTTGTTCAAAATTTTCAAGTGAATTTGTAATGATAAAATGAGAAAAAATGTTTGTAACAACAACAACGACGACAGACAACTGACAAATTTTCTCAGATAAGATCTTTCGGGAGTGCAGCTTGGGATAAAATGTTAATAATTGATATCTAAAAGTCTAGAAAAATAAGGTCATTGACAAGGCAGGGAGTCCGGAGAAAAAAAGGTATAATATATAATTTTTTTCATTTATAAAAACAGTGATGTCCCGTTTAATTCACTAGGCGGCGGAAATAAAGAAAGTGAATGTTATGGAGGTACACAAAAGAACATGTTTTTGTTTTTATGGATTAAAAAAAAAATGCAAGAAAGAAAAAAAAAGTGATGACTTTGTTGTACATTGTGTGAACTTAGGGGACAGACAGTCACCAGGTCGTCATTTATCATGTTATGTTGCGAAGGGTAAGATTTGCCATATTATGGTGAAAGCTAGGTTACCGGATGAGAACAGTTCTATATAAGTCATGTGAAGGAGGCACCGCACGGTAATTACGAATTTAAGTTATTAAAAAGACATTGTAGACAAATTACAAGACAGAAACTCTTGATCATTATGAATAATAATTAGATGTTATGGAAAGTAAATCAAAATTAAAGAACAGTGGTGGAATTTCTCTTTCTAGTTTCTTTATTTGTATTTTTAGCCAAAATTTATACATGTAATCGGAAGAAAAGAATAAAGCAATGTATTTTAATGAAAATGTCTATGAACTACTGAGTATATGGATTTTAGAGAAATTACATGGTAAAAAATAATGTAGGTCCTTTTTATTAAGATTTTACATAGGAAATGCATAAGGAATTATCAAAACTTTGATTCGAAGGAAGGCTAGCTTGGTAGGTTAAATGTGGCAGAATAAAACATGCTTTGTACTTTTAAATTTGTTCAATAGTTCTTAAAAAATTCTATCCTAAAACCAGAAACCTTGTATATGTCCAAAAGGAAGAGTAAAAGTTTTATAATACATTCTATAAGATAGCTATCTTGTTTTGAAATCTTTGATTGATTCTAATTTTAAAAGAAATTTAAGAGCACAGACCTTGTTTTGTATATACTGATTACAAAACTGACGGCAATTGTCAGTGCAACTGCGAATCCCACGGAAACTACAACATACAGTGTACATGAATTGTAACAGCATGGTTACGTAAAAATAATGTGATGTACATTGGATGTTTTACATTGCTCTGGGAAAAATTCGTAACTCTTTCTTTATTTCTTTAAAGATTTATTTAAGGGGGATGTACGGCCACCTTTAGTGCTGTGAGAACAAAATGTAAACATTTCTTCAAATGGCTAAAATACATCATATTTTGAGCAAATTTTAAGTCCTTATGATAAAGATACAATAAATATTCATAACTGAATGCATATTGTGCATACATGTATATAATCTATACTTTTTGCAGAAAAATGCTTTTGATATGCTCATTAGAACTGCGCAGCTACAGAATTCAGCATAGCCTTAAAAAATCCAAAAAAATATGCAAACTGTGCATCAATGTTCTCTCTACAACCATTTGTCGAGAAAATGTCTAAATTTTGCACTTTTAAAAGATAATTTCAAGTTCAAAACAAGGTATCGTTGTCTTCAAAAAGAGTAAAGAACCATGAAAGTAGTTCATGGATAGGAGCACGTGGTCTATTTTTAGCACAGAATTTTGTTTTCCATACCTCTTCTTAATATGGAGGGACATAACAATCTTTAAATGTAGAAGAGAATTACAGTTGCAAAATATTTCAAATAGTATGAACACTTTTAAAAGAGGAAATGTGTTATTATATATAGTATGGCTTGAGGTAATTTATTTAGTATTATTATCGAACAGTTGTTAAATAATGTACTAATTGATATCAAAGAAAAAAATCTTAAACTCTTTGATTTCAGGTAAGGAAAAATGAGCACCATCAAAGTTAAGAATTAAGAGTTTGTAAGTTTACCACAGATAACTTATAATACATATCAAAATTTTAATTATCACCAATGAAACACAAAGACATTAAACACATAAAATCGATATGACTGACCTTGATTTAGTACTTACTAGTACGAGGGGTGATCAAAAAGTTCGCGAACTATCTCTATATCTAAAAAACCACAATTCAGATTAGAAACAAATTTGGTGCACACATAGCCAAACACAAGTTCTATAAAATAGCATATGCTGAATAAAGTTTTGCTCATAATGACGTCATTATGCAGGTACATGTGACGAAAAATGGTTGCCTCACTGGAACTCGTTTAACAAACGACTAAAATATTTATGGTATATCTTTAAAATGCCTTTGAAGTAGCATATAAGAATTTGTTCATAGTTTATTAAGACAAATGACTTCCTACAAATTCAATTAATGATTGGATAGATCGTTTTAGTGAAGGAAGGCAGATGGTTACCGTTAAATATGATACTTGTTATATTGCCCAGTGATATATTAGCAAGTTTGAAAAGGGATGTGTTTTTAATTAAGCAATATGCTATCAAAGACCTCCAATTGACACTTTGAAAAATACTTGAATATTTCAACAATAATATAACTATCAAATACCTAAGATATATCGTTTTCTTTTTGATCTACCCTCGTATACTCTGTCAAATAAACATTTACAATTTTGAATTTAGCGGAGCAACATTTGAAAAGGAATGAAATCATTCAGAGAGGGTTAGGAGATTTAATGAATAAAAAAACTTTTTCTCTTTGCCTTTTTTGTCAAAATTACAATTTTACAGAGTAAAAGAAAAAAAATCAACATTAATAAATATTTTATACCATCTGTAAAATGACGTTTGGTGGTCCTCCCAACTCAGGGAAAAATATTGGGTCCTATTTATAGGTGAGAAAAAAATTCCTAAAATTTTAAACATTTTCGTTGACGGAAGAAAAAAAACGTAATGGGATATAAAAAAAAAAATGAATCGGGCCATTTCTAGGCAGTAGATCGGGAGAGAGGGCAGCCAAATATTTTTATAACAAATTGTCTTATAAGGCTAGTACATGTTCCATCACATACTTAGTAATGCAATTTTTTTTAATCTTTGGCACTATTTTGAAAAACAAACATAGGATTTGTTTTTTTCTTTTTGAGGGGGGGGGGGGGTGGGGTGGGGGGGGGGTATTTTTTTTTTTTTTTTGCGTGATAGACATAGCATATGCAATGGACTTTTCTTTGCAAACATTGTGCTTGCTTCTAAATATCAAAGACACAACTCAATATATTTTATCAAGCTTCGTATGTTCAATGTTGTCAACATAATGAGACATGATGCGTTTTTATGTCCAAACATTACTCCATACAATGTATGGTTCATTGCAAACAATCTAGCTATTTATGTGAGGTGCCTGAAGGAAATCCTATAACTGCCTATTTTTTCTATCTAACTGCTAAACAAAATAGACACATGTACCAACTTTTCGAATGTAAGACATGTAATTACAATTTGTTTTTCATGCACCGCATATTGTTTAATATTTTCAAATTAAATGCTAAGCATCCTCCTTACAGTGCCCCATTTGAAAATAACTTCTATCGCCACAGAAAAAAGACCCGCCGTAATGACATATGTTTAGGACATGTTTTATCTTTTTTCTTGAGTTTTAAAGAAACCAACAAATCATCAAGACTTGTTCCATGAAAAATTAAATATAATCATGGTAATAAACGCATCTATCCACAACAGATATATGCACATGCCAACCACGTGCTCAGTGGAATGATATTATCGAGGAAAGTCGAGCTGTAAACAGAACAGTTTTTCCCGATTTGCTGGAGTGACGTTAAAATCGCTTTTTTTCATTAATCAGACGATGCAATGCAACAAATAAAAGTAGTAAGTAATATAACCTAATGATTATTACTTAGCAATCTCTTGTCTTGATGTTATTATGTTCGCATTTATTCTAAAACCAATGCTATTCGAACTCTGTGTGACAGAGGAATGGCGGACGAAATAAACACATGGCCTCAGGAAGACACCCATATGAAAAATCAAATTTTCAAGAATTATGCATAATGACAAGAAAAAAGCGAAACGAATGATTGTAGCCATATTATCAATGAATCAAACCAATACTATATTCAATGCATTTTTCATCTCGTGAATGCTGTAGCTGCGCAGTTCTAACATGATTAATTTCCTCCTAATTAAAACAAAATAAACTTAATTATTAACTGATTTTGGTCTCTAACAGTAGGTAATTAGTGCATTAGCACTTTGAGTAACTTTGGGCTAGTTTAGTAGAGTATTAAGCGCATTCTTGGTATTTCTTATTTTACACCAGACTAGATTCAATATGGCTTGTACATCCCCCTTAATAACTCTTTATCTGAAATATTTTCACAGCAAAAAATGTAACAAATGACAAAATTAATAAAATGTTTGACATGATATTACCGTGGTTACAATTATTGCGAGAAATCAAACCTAATAAATATTTAAGAATTAAAAAGAATTGTGTTTTCATTTGTTAAATTTGAAAGAAAATAATTTTCTTTTTAGACTTGTAGCCTCAAAGCTCTATGTTAAAAATGACAGAATAGATTTATTAACTTACGAAAGATCGCTGTTTGGGAAAAGTTGGTGTTTGTTTCTTCACTTCCTGCGGACATTGTAGTATCTAAATAAAATATTATTGGGGTTTCAGAGAATAGAGACTGTCTTCATATTTTGCTGCTCTTGTGTAAGATCACACGTTATAAAATTTGTAAAAAAAAAAAAAAAAAAAAAAAAAAAGAGTGTAAAATATATGAATTATGTGCAAGTTGAACGGGAACAAGTATAGATGGACAACAGTTTTTTCTCTTAAATTTATGTTTCAAACATTTTATACAGTAAAGAAATTATTACTATCTAAATCTAGGGCGAAAATGAATGATAGGTTTATGATATTCAAGATATAATATTTGACTATTTCCTGACTATGACCTTAAAGCTTGGCTTTAATTGTACTTAAAGACTAAAGCCTCGTAAATATGTGCAATATCAGATATCTCCATCGATGGAATCATAGCACAAAATTAAAATCCTTAATTAAAGATTCTCAATTACATCATATACATGTACATCATCTAAATCTGAAACATATCAAACATGTAGCCTTTTGGATACATAATACATTTCTTCCTTTAAAAAATCATTCATGTCATTTTTGTTTCAAATTGAATTTTAAATATATTTTGCGTTTCTCAATATTGTTAAAGGGAAGTATTTTTTTTTCGCGTACTCTACCAAAGACCCCTTGTACCTCCTTAACATTAACGGCAAAAAAAAAAAATCCCACAATTTATGGGGATCGGGTTGTGTCTTTTGTGAGGAGCGATAACTTCTACAATTGGTGGCTTACTTTTACACTAGAACAATGGACAAAGGATCTTATACTATATAATTATTAAGCTCAACATTTAATTCAACCAAAATATGGGCTTATTTCGAAGCAGAAATCAGTTTTCCAATCAGGAAAACGACAAGCACTCTACTATCTGGTCTTCAGATATTACCATAACAACATTATGGGAACTAACTAGGACCACTAGAATGGCGTTAATTATCGAACCTGTGCCACAGTGACTATACATGATGAAGGTTATAATGTCAAGTAAACCATCAATTGTGTGCTTCTCGTGAAGGTACACTGGAAGCTATTATCCGTGGAATATTGTCTTAGTCATTTGTGCTCTTATTTCTGGCATGACAACCCTATTATATATATTCTTGAATGATAGATCAATGTTTTACCTGTTATAAAATCCAGCGAAACAGGGAATTCAGAATAAAAATATCTGACACCTGAAAAAGTAAGAAAGAACCGTTTAGCATTTAAAGGTGAATTAAACAATCCGAAAACATACAAAAAGTCTATTGAAACAAGACTTCACTGAGCAAACATGGATGTCTGAAAACATGATGTAGCAATCATCCCCGTCAACAAAAAATATTGCAGTCTGTTTATATGGGATTTCTTGGGGGGAAAATTGACATTGTCTCGAAGAATACTTACAAAAACTAACATTTCCTTTAAGGTGTGCCGGTGTAAGAGATATGAACCTTCTGGACATGAGTAATTTATCTTTGACGGGACAAGTAGAGTTCATTTTGTCTCTGTCTTGATTGTTTGATACAACACAATGCCCAAACCTCTGTAACATTCTAAATTTAAATGAAAGGAGAAAACGTAATTAAGTATTGCCATATTCAGGCAGATTAATTTGAAATTTTATATATTTTTTAATTATAATAATTGATAAATAATTATTGTTCATAATTCAATCTAATTCATTAAGAAAAGAATTTTTTCAAAACATGAAGATAACACTACTAGTATTTAAAAACAACTTAATTTATATTTACAGTAATATTAGTTTAAATATCTAATGCGGTGTCATATATATTGCAGTGCTATATAGTTAGAAAAACTCCAAATAAATAATACAATAAGACAAAAAGACTTGCTTTGTTCATTTTGACATTTTGATTTTGTCATATTAAAATACATTGTGAATAAATACCGGCAAAGTGTTGGTATATCTAGACCTGTAGTTTTAATGGTTGTTTCGTTGTAACAAGAGGCGGCCAAGTTAATAAGATTAAAAGAATTATCTATCAAACTGGGATCTCTACAATGTGGGAGAATGCCTGCAAAACAGAAAATTACAATTATATCTTTGAAAGGTAGTTCTACAATATTTATTTTTATCAGCATGGTCATGATTTTATATGATAGATTGTCTCTTTTTCATGAAGAAAATTTTGATTCAATATTGTGTATATAATTTTTATTTTAATTATTGTGATAGTCATGTTGGTTGTATCTAATACCTTATACAGAGAGTTTAAATGAAATTTGTAAGATATCAGGGTATTGTTAAATTTCTTTTGATATTCATTTATCTTCCATTCTACAATCTCTTCTTCCATTTACATTCTTTATTATAAGATCATCTTTGTAAAACTTTGAAGAAAAAGTCGAGAGATTTCCATTTCCATATAGAATTGATTCTTCTTTAAACTTGCTTTGGAAATCAACTTTAAATTTATATTTTTTAGCTGGCATCGACAAGTGAGAAAACTTCTTTTCACTCACATTGAGAGATGGATTTCCCTGTTAAGTCTTCTAAAGTGTCCTTCATTTGCAGAGCAATAGATCGCCATGTAATCTGGGAACAATTGGAACCGGTGAGGTTTTCTATATTCTTTTTCAAACATGAGACCAGGTTTAATATATTGCTGGAAAATATGCATATGGCATTCATGAAACGTTACAATGTAAATTTTAAAAAAACATTGACATATTTCATTTTTTTTCTGGAGAATTTCATTATTCTTTCAATACATACAGATCATCATGCACTGTTTGTTTTTTTCTTTTTTTTCAAATAGCAATAATATGCATATACAATGACCTTTTTTCCCCCATATACAAAATTTTATTATTTACTTTAGATACAGAAATTCAATGGCATATGTTTATAACTAAAATTCATATCTTTGATATTTTATTTGATTACGTTTAATTAAAAATTGCCTCAATGTAAAATGTATATTATGCTGTACATGTGAATGACTGAAGGTTTTATTTTATGGTCTATATAAAAACCTCTTACCTACAATATTCACTATCACTTGGGATATTATGAACACACAGGTTCTTTATTTCTGTTGTATAAAAAGACTGATTAAGGCACGGATTTTCTGAAAAAAAAAAGATTTAGAAGATAAACATTCGTAGGTTATCAAACTCAAATAATAGTCAAATTTTTTTTTCATCCTAATAGAATTAAACTGACCACACACTTCCACGCCACATAGTTCCCAGCAGACATTCGTGTCATTGGTAAAGCACCATGGCTCCTCTCTATCGAAGTTCCGACAGTAGTTTTCTTTGGCAAGGCGGAACGTATCATAAGCGTGTTCGTGTGGGATCTGGGCATCCCATCGTTAACATGGTCTACCAGTTTCTGTTTCATTTTTCGTTCCTTGATAAAAAACTCCTGGCAATCGACAGTCGTCTGAGATAGATTCTGCTTTACATGTAATTGATTGAAGAAGAAAAATATTTTAGGAAAAAAGGGCTTTTTAAAAGGTATATCATTGTGTTTTTTTAATATCCTTTATATAAAGATTATATCCATTTAGAATAATACCTTTATCTTTATTTTTTCCTCAACCTTAACATTTTTTACTATATCATAAGGATTACACTTGTTTTTTGTATTTTTTCATGCGGTTTTAAATTTGGTTACACACCATTTTTCTCGATGTACTGCTTGCAACCTGTTTTTTTACCCGCAACGTGCTCTAAATTTCAGAACAGAGGTTATTGTGATCAGATTGTAATCAAGCTAATGATAAGTATACGTAGAATGATATTATGAATAAAATTCAGAGGACTTCCCTTCGTTTTATGATTCATTAACAAGCATAGGCATTGAACATTGCGGCTTAGGTTTAGCACTATCCATCCAACTTTAATTGGTTGCAGGCACGAACGAAAGCACAAAAGCCAAAAGCACCTTTATTTCCTTCCGACGCCAACGAATTATAATATCTTAACTATCAGTTATGTCGCTTTAATTTAAAAGAAAAAAAATATTGATATCTCAAGGAGACATTGCCTGATTCTATTCAAAAGTAAAGCAGATAATTGTGTGTTTTTAAAATTCAATGCAAATTAGTTTTATTCGTTTTCCTCTAACCTTGGAATTCAGGGCCAAGAAAAAAAACGATAAATTAGTGATTGTTTTACATATGATGGTAATACATGCAATAATCATCATCATCATTATTTAATTTTGAATTTAAAAAAAAAACAAATAAGACTTTAACGAGGCCGAGTTTAATTTGAGTGCGCGTGACTTTGCGCAGCTTTTTAATTCCATGCAGTCATTTGTGCGACAGTACACCTTTGCTAAATATTTGATTTTAAAACAATATTAAAATTATATGTAACTCCTACTGGTCTGAAAATATGATTTAACGAAAATAGTTAGGAAAGAACGCTGAAATGGCTCTACCGACGTCACCATTTTTGGATTTTGTAGGCAACGCATGCCGCTGAAGACTGACACATAACTCGCTTGTAAGTTCAAGACGTCCATTGATATTACACTAAATACTGATAACAGAACATATAAAGAAGCATACTAGCAATTCAAACATTGCTAATTCTTTTACCAAAAAAATCGTATGTGCCGATAATTCATCTTCACTGATATGTAGTTATACCATAACATGGCAATTTTACAGGCATTGGGCATGAAAAAATATACACAGTAATTAATTCCTAGAGCAAAGTACGTTTTGGATTTTTTTTTCTTTTTTTTTTCTTTCTTTCTTTTTTTTGTAATTTCACAATTTGGTGATTTTTTACAATAACTTTCATGTATTTGAATGAAAAAGAAATCTCGAAAGAAATTTTGATATGGTCTCCTAAAAAATCGGGTTGGTAAGCATTCTATCTTTTTTATCTTAAAACAATAATTACAACAGTAAAAATTACTTATCAAAAAATTATCAAAATCCCTAGGTCAGAAATAATTAGACTCGGCTTCGTTAAATAACCATGTAGTATACAAAACTGTGTCAGGTAACTTGTTGATTATTGTAAATCGAGGACTTTCATTCCGTATATAAGATATTATTTTTTATATATTTATGTTGTGACTTTTAAAAAAGTTAAATATAAGAAGAAAACATTTCACAATCAACAATGTTATTAAGTAACTGCCTCTTATACTGAGAAGTAAATTACCTGTAGCGGAATACAAAAAGGTTCCAATAAACAATCTTAATGTTATCATTTCAGTTTTGTTACATTACAGTTACATGTTGAGTTCATTTCTATCAAGAGGGAATATATTGAAAAGCTGAAACAATTTACAAAACAAAATTTGCGTGTTAGGTTTATCTCTATAAAAAGGAAAACATATTGAAAAACTTAAACAATTTACAAAACAAAAGTTACATATTGAGTTAATCTCTATAAAGAGGGAAACATATTGAAAAAACTGAGACAAGAAACAAAATCAAGACAGGGTTAAACTTCCTCTCTGAGTACACACTGTAAGAAATAATGAAAGAAAGAATGTAAGGATCTTTTAACATTTCCTCTGTGTAATAATTTTCCTATAAAAATATAAACTGATATATATTTTTTGCGCACATCTTTAAAGCAATAGTCAAATTGTTATAATTTTAAAGACTGTAACTTCTGTTAAATCAGTATGTACTAGTATATTATAAACCTCCAAAGCTTAAAAAAGATTTTTTAAAGTTTGTATCCTTCATGTAAATAGTATACAAGAAACATATATTGACGCAAGCGTCAAAAATCGGCCGCAAACTAATTAATTGTTCCTTTTATGAAGCAACTGAAGACTGAAATGGTGATCTGTTTTAAAATATCTTATATTTACCTATTAATATATATCCTTGTGACATTAAACGCTTGAGCACGACATTGAATGATTTTCTTAATTATATAATGCATGTTCAGTATTACATGTATAAGCAAAGTACCCCTGGTCCTCTGCGTCAACAAACCATGGGCCTGTACGTATAATTAAGAGGCATTTACATTAAAAGTTTAAAACTAAAGTTTAATGTAATCTACAACTAGATATGCAATGTAGTTTTAATTTAATAAAAACGCAACAAATATGTGGGGCTCCTTGCTCTCTCTTAGAGGAAAAAACTAAACTACCTCTAGATCCGCCACTACATTTCTTCTCTTTCAGTTTTCTTTTGAGTTGTTAGCGGGAAAATTCTTGGCACATTGTAAAACGTGTATTATCCTCGTTTGCTGGGGCAACATCTCGTTATATTCTGTATCCTGCTAGGTCTTTTGATGAATTATTATTTAACCATATTTTTGAAGATTTTTATATATGTACATGTGTACGTCATTTTGGAATAAATACGTACAACAAATCCTGTTTCAATAGAGAAAGTAAAATTGTGCAATATACATAACGCGGTCTTTGCTTTAGACTATGCCCAACAAATGTCCTATTTTTCTCCGCACCTCAAACATGTCTAAGTTTCTCAAACAGGATTGGATGAAATATTTACTTCATTCTTTATTAAAAAAATAATTTTATGTTTACTGTGTGATCTTGTTAAACATTTAGACGCTCTTTTTTATATACTATTTTATTAATGTTAAATATTTTTATTTAAATTGTTTTAACTCCGCAGAAACGCACAGCGACTTCAAACTTTCATATCATATAACCGACCGCCTTCTGGCGGCCGGTAATCAAAAAGATGTAATTCATATAACATACACATATAAAGTTGCACGTCAGTGTAGTTTGATTACTATGGGTATTAATAAACAATACAGCTCCGCACACGCATTAAGCTCACATATGGATTTTTGCACAATTTAACGTCACATTTTTCAATGCGAATTTGTTTAACAAGGCAGCATAATATATTTTGAAATGATTTTAACCTCTTTTTTATTTCACTTACTTAAAACATAATTTACACAGACTATTAATTGGTAAGATTATGATATGCTAGTGGTTAATGGATTTTGATAGTTCTCAAATGGTTTTCTATGGTTTCTCGTTAAAGGCAACCATCTTTGTACACGTTCTTTTGCAAGCAGTTCTTTGTATTGCCTAAAGAGAGGAACAGTACAGCTCATGTAAAGTATCAACTATAAAACTTACGAACTGAATGATTTGAACGAGAATCCCGATAAAGTTGACAATAAAAAAATTAAAGTCATCACGTATATCTTTGAGCTTGGTTGTTAGTTTACCATTAAAATCTTTCTCGAGTAAAAATATCCAAATATACTCACCGTCAATAGAAACGCAACACCCCAATTTTAGGGGTGAAAATTATATACGGGATATAACTATGTACTAAAAAAGTTAGGACATCTTTTACTTTGCCAAATCAGTTATTTAACGGTTGAATGATTTTCATTCCATTACCGGAAGTTAATTTTTAGCTCCCTGAACAGAAATCAAAAATTAGCATTTTTGATAAAATTATTGAAAATATTTTGGGTTTTCAAGGTTTTGTACCTGTTAATTATAAGTCTTGTACTAAAAGTCCGTAAAAATATCCTTCTTTCTCTTCCGGATGTGATGCCTGTATTTCCTCAAAGTAACTGAAAGCACGTATTTTCATTGCTTATGTTGGAAATTTTCAAAATAAAGAAAAGGGAGAGCTACAGATGCAAATACACACTACATAACGACTTTTCGGGCTCATGTGTTTCAAAAGCATGAATGACAGTTCCTTGACCGGAAGTCCAAGGGTTACTACACTACCCCAAGTTAGAGATAATTCGACCTCAGTATCTGAAAAACAGGCATTTGATAAAGGACAAGAATATTTATTTCGCTCAGATTAAGACATTGATAAACTTAATGTATCGTAGAATTCGGGCTGCTTATGTTGTACCTGGCGGACTAGCACGTTTTAATTGAATGGTCGGAAGGGGGGATGTTTTAGAGTTATGTGTTACTTTATAAGGTTTAAAGATAAGATTAAGAATGAAAACATAAATGTAAAAAGTAAATTTACAAAACAATGATACTTCATTTAAACTTAAAAGTTATCTTTAGACCTTAGAAAGTAACACATAACTTTTAAAACATCCCCCCTTCCGACTATTCAATTAAAACGTGCTACTCCGCCATGTACAACATAAGCAGCCCGAATTCTACCATGCATTAAGTTTATCGATGTCTTAATCTGAGCGAAATAAATATTCTTGTCCTTTTTTAAATGCCTGTTTTTCAGATACTGAGGTCGAATTTTCTCTAACTTGGCGTAGTGTAGTAACCCTTGGACTTCCGGTCAAGGAACTGTCAGTTATGCTTTTGAAACACATGAGCCCGAAAAGTTGTTATGTAGTGTATATTTGCATCTGTAGCTCTCCCTTTTCTTTATTTTGAAAATTTCCAACATAAGCAATGAAAATGCGTGCTTTCAGTTACTTTGAGGAAATGCTGGCATCACATCCGGAAGAGAAAGAAGGATATTTTTCCGGACTTTTAGTACAAGACTTATAATTAACAGGTACAAAACCTTGAAAACCCAAAATATTGTCAATAATTTTATGAAAAATGCTAATTTTTGATTTCTGTTCATGGGGCTAAGAATCAACTTCCGGTAATGGAATGAAAATTATTCAACGGTTAAATAACTGATTTGGCAAAGTAAAAGATTTCCTAAATTTTTTGGTACATAGTTATATCCCGTATGTAATTTTCACCCCTAAAATTAGGGTGTTGCGTTTCTATTGACGGTGAGTATATGAAACAGATATGTCAGACTCTGTGAAGCTAAAATAGTAAACAAAATGTATTGGTTTATAACTCGAAAACCACGAAAATCAAAACATACAAATATTCAGGTTTCACAGTATCTAGTTGGATAGTTTAATTATGTACCCAGTTGCACGTGGTGCATATCTAATCACACGTAAGGATATGTCCGATTTTGCAGTGTACGAAAATATAGAGTGTATAAGATTGAAGAAAAAATTGATATAGGTTAAACACTTTTTAACTATATGATATACTGGTAACTTCAGCTGTGTTAAGTCAATTCTTAAAGCTGTATAGTGTAACCATGTATTTTCCACATGCACATCGAAACTATACACATTAACTATGAAATCACATCTTAAGACTGTTTTGATTGAAATTATTTACATTATTTGAATTCTAAACACCCCAGGGTCATTAATTTATTATAATGTTTGAATTTGTTGAAATAATTGACAAACTAGTATATGTTAAATTAAGAAATAACTTACACATTGAAAGATGTTATAACAAATACCTTTATTTTTTCCAGAGTTTTTTGTTTTTTAAGAATGATAATGTACCACAGTACAAACTAAAATCATGTAAAAATTGTAAACGAAATGTGTTATACTTATATCAGATTATAGGAGTGTTGAATAATAATAACCCATGAATTACTTTTTCTGAGATATCCTAAAAACTTAAAGGTACTTGGACACAGATTTGAAGTTAATATTTTCTCATTTTTTCTATATAATATCACGAATTATATATTTAAATAGCATTTCACACAAAAATTAATTAAAAATTTTATTTCATTTAAAAGTTATTAAAACTTTAAATTTTTTGGCGGGTTTGATTGACACATCCTTGCACTTTCACGAATTTTAACTTTATTCTTAATCCTTAGGAAAAGTGGCAATTTTGATGTGTTTTAATGAGAAAAATTATAAACTTTTATCAAGAAAAATAATTTTATTCAGAGTAGAAATGTTAGAAAGCAAAACACCTTCACAAGTATCGTCATTCCGAACACAGAGTTTAGCAAATCGAGCACAGTTTTTGTAAACAGGGCTCGAGTTCTGTTATTGTTTATATTTAGAATTCACCGGGTGCATTCAATCGTCAGTCTGCTTACCACAACTGCACGGACTGACGATATATTGTGTGTTTGTTTTGCTTTCGAACGTGTATACTCTGAATTTTCTGGATTATAGTATTACTATTTTTCATTTATACAAAACGAGATTGCCACTTTTCCTAAGGATTAAGAATAAAGTTAAAATTTTTGAGAGTGCAAGGATATGTCTATCAAACCCGCCGAAAAATTTGAAATTTCAATATCTTTTAAACGAAATAAGATTTTTAATTAATTTTTGTGTGAAATGCTATTAAAATATAGAAGTCGTAATAATATAGAGAAAATAATAACTTCAAACCTGTGTCCAAGTACGTTTAAGTGTTCGATGTATATGGGTTCAAAAAAGGATCCTAAGGATGATGTGCCTTTCGACCCTCGGTTTATTCACAAAAAATTAAATATCTAACTTTTACTTAATTTTTTCATGAACTTAAAACTCAATGACATGTGTAACCTCAAAGAATACCAACAGTAATTCTAACCAAAAATAGAAACATATTTTGGATGAATTTTATCTTAGGTTTGGTTATGGTACTAGTATGTTTACAATCCTTCGTCCATTCAGTGAAATTTGGCACCGCCCATCTTTTGAAAGCCTTAAAATATACGAGTGGAAGAATTTACATTTTTCTTGTTTGGATGGTCACTGTATTTCAACGACATCTACCTTTACGTGAAAGGAGAAAATTGTACCCACTGCGCTTAATATTGTTGTGTAGAAAAAATTGTAAGAATTAATTGGCCTTTCCCATTATTAACAAATCCACTAAACTGTTGTGTTATAGGGCTTATCCGGTATGACGTTAAGGGACTAATAAACGAACAAATAAAACTGACAAATGAATGCATATAATGTATTGATAACTTTTCCGAAATTATCTTTTGGTTTGGTAGCACATTTATGGTCGGAAAATCCTCGTTTATGTCTTTATTTCGTCCACATCTATTTTCTCAGTTACGTTTATTGTAGCAGCATTCTCTGTTTGTAAATTGTCCACAGCCCCTGATTTCAAAGAATCGTCTATTGCATCATCAACTAAATCAATATAAGGGGGAACGTTAATGTAATCATTAGGTTCTTTTTCGCTATGCACTACATCTAAATATGTTCCATCTGCATTGTTAGGATCTATATATGGCCCATCTTCGTCTGTTAAAGTAGTTTCTCCTGATTCGGGCAAATGTTCGTAACCCTCATCTTGTTCCTCTACGATTTCATAGTTGGGATCGGAATACGGATTTTTTGGATTGGTTAAATTCATTTCGTATGGAGAGTCTTTCAATTTTGGAATACTTGGGAGGCGCATCAATTCTTTTCGTCTTTTTCTCAGTGTTATTGCTCTATATGATTTTGAAAAAGAAATCATGTTAATATATTTTCAAGATTAAGAAACCTTTGTTTAAATTTATATAATAAAATATATGAAACTAAGAAGGATATTAAATATCAAACATTAAACAATAAACACGGCTCTATGAGACATCGGTTTTGGATCAGGTACCATAATGATTGCGAAGTAACGGTAATTTATTTACAATGAACATAAATAGGTTTATAATTTTAAAATTGTATGATTAATGGCCTATATAATTACAATGAAAAACTTCAATCAGTACCCAGCTAGGATAAGGCTGCCCGTAAAATATCAAACTTCTCAAACTGTAGTAACTTCTCTGAACTACCTATATATGACGTCATAATAGAATATGACGTCAAGTCACTGCATACTTGAGCTGACATGACGGGGAAAGTGTCATAATTATTACACGGCATGTAGATTTATTATGGGGATTTGTGTTTAATTCAAGAGTAAGGTTTGTTTTTTTAAGCTTGTGTGTGCTGTTATAATTTTTAACATTTGATATTTAAATATCTCCATCCTTTTGCTTCTCCGATATGCATATATTCAAGCAATAGCAAAAAATTATGTTTGAAACGCTCCCCTTACACTTTCGAAGACAGAGTTAGAATTTATGAATCGTGTTTATGTTGGACTGGCACAAGTGAAAGACAAGGATGAATTGAAGATATTTTGCGTGAATCTAAAAGAGAAGTTTGTCTTCTAACTGAATTTTGCTACGGAATCGTATGTAGTTTATCCGTTTGTGTATAAATCGCGATAAAGAGTGGAAAATACCCCTTCTTACGTTGGTAATTTTAATTCATCGTAAAATTATTTCTTAAGAAGAAAAAATTAAACCTCCCCCCAGCACTTTTTAAGTACAATGGATCACGATCAATTGGTTTATGAAACAAACTTTGCACAATAATTGTGTTATGCACTTGTGCCGATGCGATTTTTGTGCAACATTTAAGAATATCAAAAATGTTTTTTTTTGTTTCATCATCATGTTTATCACTGAATTATATCGTTTTAAAAAAACGTAGAGCATGTCTTGCGTATTGGATCAACTGAGAGATAGCACAGAGTCAGACACATCTGTTTTATATTTGGATATTGACTTGAAAAAGACGTTTATGATAATAAAACAACCAAGCTCTATGAAAAAAACATGATATCTTTAATTTTTCTACCGTTAATTTCCTTTACTTAAGCATCAATACACCTTCATCACCTGCATATGGCGTTTATGTATTAGTTGATTCAATATGCAAGAGCATGTTCTGCGTATGAACAATTTCTAAAACACGGTATATTATTGACAAATAAGTTGATGAAACAAGAACATCAGCAGTCTCGCTCTGTATCGTTTTATGGACTTTGATATTGAATACTGTTCGTTATCTCCATATCCCCCATGGACCCTTTGTCCAGGTTATAAGGGTATATTGCTAGGTATAAGTGTGATTAGTTGAATTTTTAATCAATTACGTCATCACGTATATCTTTAAGCTTTCTTGTTAGCTTACCATAAACGTATTTTTCTACTAAAATATTCAAAAGAGATTTGGAGATAACGAATGGCATTCAATATCATACCAATATTCAAGTCCATAAAACAAAACAAATAGGAGCAGAACAATCATGGACACCCAAAACATCAGAGGTGGGATCAGGTGCCCTGGAGGAATGAACATCCCCTGCCGACCGGACACACCCACCGTATGCTCCTTGTCAGAAAAACACATGTGTAAGAATATGTAGTCTCTTTAAATTCAAGCTCATTCTGATAAATCAAGTCTACATATGAATGTAAAAAACAATTGTTATTCTATTTTTTTGTCCCTATTTTACACAATTTGAATTCGAAAAAAAAAAATATAAATAAAATAAGAAAAATAAGAGTTCCATGTGATGTCCACCTATACCCTGAATCTCTAAGCTTTAATTCTAACTCCCAGAACCATGTCTAGTTTACCTTTTATTTCAATAGAATATATTGGCACAATATTGTGATCCAAAGTCTACTTTTAAGAGGGCTTTAATACACTCAATTAAATTTGCACTATTTTCTAAAAGTAACATTGGCGATTCTTGTCAACAAATTTGAATTCTCATTATAAAAGAAAAGCTTCTTTAACCCAAGTTTGGTTAAAATTTGTCCAGTTGTTTCAAGAAATAAAATAAGAAAAATTTGCACAACAACGGCAGCAGAAAACTGACAAATAGTTCACTTTAGCGTGTAGCTCGGGATAACAGAAACTTTTAGTCTGTAGTTAAAAGTCTAGAAAATTGAGGAAGAGTGAAGGTTTTATAAGCATTTTAAACAAATGTTGAAGGAAAAATCAAGAACACAGACCTTATTTTGTATATGCTGATTGCAAAACTGATGGCAAATATTAGTGCAACCGCAAATCCCACCGCAACTACAACAAACATGAATCAAACAACATGATCATGTAAGATTAATATACCGCTACTGATTTTTTTATTTGCTATAGAAGAACAAGGCAGTAAAATGTGAATAATTTTCTTGAAATCACTGTGAATAGACTAATCCCTGTGCATAAGTCACATGAGGTACAGTGCAGGGAACTAATTTTGTTACAAAAACCAGCATCAGGATCAGCATAAGTAGGATCAGGATAGAGCTAGCATCAGCATCAGCATTTAAAAAAACAGCATAACTTGGATCAGCATCAGCAAGCAAAGGATAGAACTAGCATTGACCTATTTTAAAACCAGCATTGACCTACTTAAAATCAGGATTATCCTGGTTTACTAAAACTACAGATTTGATTTTCACAAAACGAAACCGCAAATAGGCATTCCTATTGGAATCAGGACAACTCGCCCCCAAGACAACTCGCCCCCAACACCTGTTAAGACAACTCGCCCCCAATTTAGGACAACTCGCCCCCACTCAGGACAGCTCGCCCCCACTGTAGAGACAACTCGCCCCCATTTCACGCAAATTCACTTGGCTGACTGATTGAGACACGGACTTACTGAAAAAAATATTAAAAAGATAAATATTCTTAGGTTATCAAACAAAAGAAAGGATTCTTCTCATATTTCTAATATTTAAAAATTAATGAAATTTTCAAAGAATCAAGAAGACAATATCAGTCAGTGACAGTATCAGTGAAATTAAATTTTACCGTTTTATATTAGAGGCAAGATCAGGTCAATGTCTTTATCTTTTTCCTTGATATTAAGAATTAAAAAAAAATACTGTTGCCAATCATGTGATGCCTACTTCTCTTTCAAAAGTTTAAAGATTGTTCTTTTTGCATAAAACATATAATTATATCGGGTTAATAGCATGATATTACCAAATTTACATAAATAATTCAACTTAACTGAATATTGGCTTATCTGAATTTTCTCTGTTTTTCTTAATTTTTAGGATATATTAGTTATTTTCATATGCTTCCTACATTTAACTTTTTCTTATTTTTCACCTATTAATAAATTTGTCTTATAAATGTAGAAAATGATACAAAACAAAAAGTTTTGATCGTTTACTAAGAGAGAAGAAATACTTTTTTTATGGATTCTTGGCTCAAATCTGCATTTTGATATGAAGCGTTTAAAGGTCAACAAGGTTCTAGATTATTTGGAAAGAAGGATATCGGGATAACGAACAGTATTCAATCTCAATCCCATAAAACAATACAAAATAAGAGCAGATCTAGAGCAAATACGGACCCCCAAAACATCAGAGGTGGGATCAGGTGCCTTGGAGGAGTCAGCATCCCCTGCCGACCGGTCATACTCGCCGTGTGCTCCTTGTCATGATCAGGAAATAACGGAAAAAAATCCGTCGTCAATTCAGTGTATAAATAATGGACTAACAATAAGTCAGTCAACATTTGACTATGTGATAAATTAACCTCGTTTTAGAAATTGTTCATACGTAGTGCATGCTCTTGCGTATAGAATCAATATATATATATATATATATATATATATATATATATATATATATATATATATATATATATATATATATAAAGCACAAAGAAATTCACTTTTACATGGATACCCACTTCCGCCCCAGCCCGGGGTTGAACTCTCGACCTTCGGAATCTGTCTCCTAGCAGTGCAGGAACAGCGCGCTAGACCGCTCGGCTATCTAGGCAAGTTATAAAAACTTGCTTTCGATGCCGATGGAATTCTCGCGGCGCTGCCCAACACTACACGGTCATTGAGAATAGAAGTGAGATACAGTTATTTGGACATTAGTTTTAACAGAGGATTGTTACCAATACATGTTGTAATGAAATTATTATTTTAAAGCACATTTTACACCAACTCTTAAACTAACCTAACTGCCCTAAGTGAAGAAATATTAACATAGAAAGCACAAAGAAATTCACTTTTACATGGATACCCACTTCCGCCCCAGCCCGGGGTTGAACTCTCGACCTTCGGAATCTGTCTCCTAGCAGTGCAGGAACAGCGCGCTAGACCGCTCGGCTATCTAGGCAAGTTATAAAAACTTGCTTTCGATGCCGATGGAATTCTCGCGGCGCTACCCTACACTACACGGTCATTGAGAATAGAAGTGAGATACAGTTATTTGGACATTAGTTTTAACAGAGGATTGTTACCAATACATGTTGTAATGAAATTAATTATTATTTTAAAGCACATTTTACAACAACTCTTAAACTAACCTAACTGCCCTAAGTGATATATATATATATATATATATATATATATATATATATATATATATATATATATATATATATATATATATATATATATATATATGTATGTATATATAAAGCACTAAAAATGACCAACGACACGAACAATAAAAATTGTCAAATTTTCGGGACGCCCTGTCCCTTCCTCAGGACAAAGAAAAAAGTTAAAAAGTCATAAGAACAAAGGAAAAATAGAAACAAAAACAACTAGCACTACTACTAAACTACTAACACTAGATATTTACATACTTAATTACATGTTGAATTCGAAATTTTTAAGAACAATAATAAAGAAAGAAATCCGGACCGCTATGAAATGCGTCCGGTCTATCGGGTATACTCGGGTGAAGTGCGATTTACATAATTGAACGAATTAATTATGCTAATTAATTACGACAATCAGTAAATCGTACATTGTTTCATTCTCTCAAAATGGCGTAACTTTACTTAATAAAGAATAATCAAAGAAAGATAAGATGGCAGGGATATTTAAACATATGAATTATGATCCATTATAAATTTTGAAATATTTAAAGACTTATTACCGGGAAAAAATAATTAACAAAGGTAAAAGCAGTACATAGTTATGTGGGTTGTTTGAGAGTTGGTGACGCAAATTGACTGTAGAGTTTACACTAAATTGAGAGAATAATCTTGTTTAGTATCATCAGGAATTGGGTCTAGTTTACGTTCATTCTGGTGAAGTCATTCAGTTTGTTAATACCATTAGGGCGGAATGACTTCAATCTGTGCATCCAGAACTTTTCTTTGCTTTTTCTCTGAGCATCTGTCCATCTTGGGTTATGGTCAATCACCACTACTGTCATATCCTCCCATTTGTGACCCTCAAGGTTGAAATGTTCCCCAACGGGTTCATTGAGTTTTTTGGTCCTAATGGTCGAACGGTGGTTATTGACTCTCCTGCGGAGATCTCCTGTTTCACCAATATACTGTTTGGAGCAAACTTTGCAACTGATGAGATAAATGCAGTTGTCAGTATGACAGGACAAATTCCCTAGTATTTTGTAGCTGCGGCCTGTAACAGGGCTGTTAAAACTGTCTGTGTCAGTACTGTGCTTACAAAGAAGACATCTTCTGTCAGAGCAAGTTTTAAAGCCTCCGTTAGGTAATGGGTTGTCCAGTCTGGTTCTTACTACCATGTCCTTTATGTTCCTTGGGCGTCTGTATGCAGCCAATGGGGGTTCCTTAAAGACCTCTGCCATTCGTTTGTTTGAATGGAGAATTGGTAGGTTCTTTTGAAGGATACCGCTAAGGTTCTTAAGGACGGGATGGTATGTGGTTACCAGAGGGACCCTACCGCTATTGTCTTTCTCCTTGTAGCGTAATAGGTTTTGCCTGTCATGTCCTGCCATCTCATCAATAGCTGTTTGTACGGTGCGGGCATCGTAGCCTCTTTTGCATAAGTGGGACTTAAGAAGACCACTTTGCTCCTGATATAAGGCAGAGGACGAACAGATGCGTTGAATTCTGGTGGCTAGACCCTTAGGCACTCCCTTAAAAGTGTGTGGGGGATGACAGCTGGAGGGCATAAGATATAGGTGGGAGTCTGTGGGTTTGGTGTGGAGACTGAATTCGATTTCACCATCAATCAGGGTAGATGTAGTATCTAGGAATACGTTTTTCGAATTAGATACGTCTACTGTAAATTTGATCGACTGATGAAAGGTGTTGGCAAACGTAATAAATGCCTCGAGGCTCTCGCGACATTCCACCCACTTCATCTCTATATCGTCAATGAAACGCAACCAGCTATGGGGCCTAAATGGTGCTTGAAGGAACAAGTTGCGTTCCAGTCTGCCCATGAAGACATTGGCATAAGACGGTGCCATTTTCGTACCCATAGCAGTGCCATTAACCTGCAGGTAATGTTCTCCATTAAACATGAAGTTGTTGAACTTGAGAACATGTTCAAGGAGCTTAGCAAGGGACTCTGTAGAAGGAATTTGTATGGATCTACTATCCCAGACTTCTCTACAGGCTTCGATACCCTCATCGTGCGGAATATTGGTGTACAAGGATGTGACGTCCATAGTCACGAGGAGGGTATGATCTGGGAGGCCAGTAGAGGGCGTCTTGTTTATGTAGTCCGTGGTGTCCTTGAGATAGGATGGCAAATTCTCTACGTGTGGACGGAGATGTAAATCAATAAATTCAGAAATTTTCTCCGTGGGGTGTCCAATTGCGCTGACTATGGGGCGACCTGGCATGCCTTCTTTGTGTATTTTAGGAAGCAGATAGAATTGTCCTGGTCTACAGTCAATAGGATTTAAGGTCTCATAGACGTTGATACCAATCTCATTTTTCTCAAACATATCGTCAAGAGATTTGGTAATGGCGGTGGAGAATTCTTTAGTGGGGTCAGAGTCCAGTTTCTTATAGAAACGTTCGTCTGAGAGTTGTCTTTGGGCCTCCGCCATGTAAGTCTCTTTATCCATTACTACAACTGTAGAACCTTTGTCTGCTTTCTTGATTACAATGTCATCCCGATTTTTTAATGATTGTAAGGCAGATCTCTCTTCCTTACTCAAATTGTCGGGAGTCTTGTCTGGCATTGAAAGGAGCTTCTCTATGTCTGACTCAACGGCGTCAATATACGACTCAAGCGCGCCGCACTTGCCCGGTGCAGGTTCCCAGTCACTCTTGGGCTTATAGAGTTTGTGTTCCTCTAGATCTTGTAAATCTGGCTTGGAAGAGTCGTATGAATTTACTTCGGAGTCTTTTCTAGAGAAGTGCTCCTTCAAACGAAGTCTCCGGAAGAATGCTCGGGTGTCCTCTCTGACTTGTTTTTCGTCGACCTCATGTGGCGTGGGGCAGAAATTTAGCCCCTTGGAAAGAAGTGAGGTCTCCGATTCGGAGAGAGGCGCACTAGATGTATTGAGCACTGGGCAGACGTCAGGAGTTTGTATGGGTCCGTTCCTCGCGATTGTCTTAATGCGTTTGAAGCGTCTCGAGCGGGGTTTGCGTGTTTTGTTAACTCTGACCTCTGACCAGTTGTTCCTAGACTGTGGAACACTGTCGCGGAGAAATTTCTTTTTTTGAGTCTTGTTGACTTTATTTGTTAGGGCCATATTATAGGTGTCTATAATATTATGGGCTTCATCAAGATCGGCCTGGGACATGATATCGTTGAGGGATGATTCTAAGGACTTGATCTCACTCTTCAATTGTCCTAACTTGTGGATATCCCAAGAAAGACAGAGTGACATCAATTGTTTAGAACATCTCCTTGTAATAACATCCCAGCGTTCCTGAATATATATATGTATATATATATATATATATATATATATATATATATATATATGTATGTATATATATAAAAAGCACTAAAAAACCAACAACACTGTATATCCTAAATGTCGGATCTATCAAGTAGATACAAGGTCACGGATGGAAATTTATAAAAAGCACTAAAAATGACCAACGACACGAACAATAAAAATTGTCAAATTTTCGGGACGCCCTGTCCCTTCCTCAGGACAAAGAAAAGAGTTAAAAAGTCATAAGAACAAAGGAAAAAGCGAAACAAAAAACAACTAGCACTACTACTAAACTACTAAACACTATATATTTACATACTAAGTTACATGTTGATTTGGAAATTTTTAAGAACACTATTAAAGAAAGAATCCGGACCGCTATGAAATGCGTCCGGTCTATCGGGTATACTCGGGTGAAGTGCGATTTACATAATTGAACGAATTAATTATGCTAATTAATTACGACAATCAGTAAATCGTACATTGTTTCATTCTCTCAAAATGGCGTAACTATACTTGATAAAGAATAACCAAAGAAAAATAATATAGAAGGGGCATTTTAACATATGAATTATGATCTATTATAAATTTTAATTTGAAATGTTTTAGGACTGATTATCGGTAAAAAATAATTAATAATTAATTAACAAAGGCGTAAGCAATACATAGTTATGTGGGTTGTTCGAGAGATGGTGACGCAAATTTACTGTGGAGTTTACACTAAATTGAGAGAATAATCTTGTTTGGTATCATCAGGAATCGGGTCTAGTTTACGTTCATTCTGGTGAAGTCATTCAGTTTGTTAATACCATTGGGGCGGAATGACTTCAATCTGTGCATCCAGAACTTTTCTTTGCTTTTTCTCTGAGCGTCTGTCCATCTTGGGTTATGATCAATCACCACTACTGTCATGTCCTCCCATTTGTGACCCTCAAGGTTGAAATGTTCCCCAACGGGTTCATTGAGTTTTTTGGTCCTAATGGTCGAACGGTGGTTATTGACTCTCCTGCGGAGATCTCCTGTTTCACCAATATACTGTTTGGAGCAAACTTTGCAACTGATGAGATAAATGCAGTTGTCAGTATGACAGGACAAACTTCCTAGTATTTTGTAGCTGCGGCCTGTAACAGGGCTGTTAAAACTGTCTGTGTCAGTGCTGTGCTTACAAAGAAGACATCTTCTGTCAGAGCAAGTCTTAAAGCCCCCGTTAGGTAATGGGTTGTCCAGTCTGGTTCTTACTACCATGTCCTTTAGGTTCCTAGGGCGTCTGTATGCAGCCAATGGGGGTTCCTTAAAGTAATGTATATATATATATATATATATATATATATATATATATATATATATATATATATATATATATATATATATATATATATATATATATATATATATATATTGTTGGAATACCTGGTCTCTAAAAACCACATAGTTATTGTCAATCAGAAACTCAAGCAACTTCAGAGTACTTATGTTTGCAATCAGAATCCGTTTTAACAAAATAATTACATGTATGCAAATGACCAATGGCGAGGTAAGTTAATTCATGAGTTCCATTTTTATTAAAGAAGCAGCTGCCAATGATATCAAAAAGCCTCGATTTTAATTTATCGTGGGAAATTGTTGTGTATAAAGTTAAAAAAAATCTTAAGTTTTTTAGCTGTTGATTTTTGTCTTGTGATTTCAAATTGTCCAAAAGTTCTTTAGATTTTTTAGCATCAACATCTGATTCACACCACTTTTTATAATGATTTAATAATGATTGGATTTATATAGCGCTTTTCTAGCATAAAATGCTACTCAAAGCGCTTTACAATCATTATTACCCCAGCAATCCAGAATCTTTCTCAGTGCAAGCTGCCGTAATCAGCGCTAGAACACTAACATTCTGACAATATCTTTCACTGTCTATAGCCAGGTACCCCTTTAACACTTGGGTAGAGTGAGGAAATTCGTGTTAAGTGCCTTTCCCAAGGACACAACGTCGACTTGCCGCGGCCAGGATTCGAACTCACAACCTTTCGGTTTGGAGTCCGGCACCTTAACCACTTCTTCTATATAGTTGCACGGTACTCTTAAAGTTTTTCTTTCATTACTGTCAATGTCTTGGTCAGGAGTAACGAAAGAGGCTTGGTTGAACATTTACTGGAACCTACAATGTATCTTCGTTTGTAAGGATTCTTATGAAGTTTCGGAAAATCATATTTATTTGATATATTTTGAAAGTTTACTCCCTCATTATTAATTTAACTTACATTTGAAAATTTCTCCAAGTCTTCGATTATGTAAAATTTATAAATAAATTCTTTGTCCTATTATAATTTTGAGAGGCATAAATATATATATTCCGCCAAAAATATAGAAACCAGAGAAGAATTCTACTTTAAGTAATATTCAATAGTTTTTTCATCCTAATAGAAATAAACTGACCACACACTTCCACGCCACAGAGTTCCCAGCGGACATCCGTGTCATTGGTAAAGCACCATGGCTCCTCTCTATCGAAGTTCCGACAATAGTTCTCTTTAGCAAGGCTAAATACATCATAACCGTGTTCATGTGGGTTCTGTGTATCCCACCTTTGACATGCTCTACCAGTTTCTGTTACGTTTTTCGTTCCTTGATATAAAACTCCAGGCAATCGACAGTCAGTTGAGATAGACCCTGCATTAATTGTTTTTAAAAATAATATTAGGGAAAAGACCTTTTTTAATTGTAAATGACCGTGTTGTTTTTAAAATCCCTCATATTTTAAAATTACTAATATTTCATTTCAGATAATACATACATGTACATCTTCAAATTTTCTTCAAGCTTATTTTGACAAACTTCTTCCTATATCCTAAAATTACACTTGTTTTTTGTATCATTTCTCATGCGGTTGTGATTTGAAGTGTCGCATGTATATTTAGGAAATTGACACAAACCACAAACTGGTATGATTAATGAAGACTCCTGGCGCAAGTATATATTGTATACACTATTTTCCCGATGTACTGCCTGCTACTTGTTTTTTAACCACAATGTGCTCTAAATTTCAGCAGAGAGGTTATTATGACCAGATTTTTATTCAAGCTAGTGAAAAATATAGAATGATATATCAAACAAAATTCAGAGGACTTCCCTTTGTTTATGATTCATAAACATAGTCATTAAACATCGGGTTTAGCGCCCCCTCACAATTTTCAAAAGTTACAGTTTGCAGTGTAAACCCTACCCCATCCCCATAAATGCCCAAAGCCCCGCCTCAATTTTCTTTAGATCCCAAAACTATCAGTTATGACGCTTTACTTAATAATAAAACTTATAGATCTTTCAAGGAGACTTTGAGATTTTTGTACTTTTTGTCTGTATTTTAAGCTGGTCATTTTCAAATAAAATATGGTTTAAACGATGGAGACCTTTAGCGATTATATTCAAAAGTAATGCAGACAATTGCGTGTTTTTTTTGATTCATCGAGAATTAGTCTTATTCTTTTTCCTTTAACCATTTAGAACCAAGACACCAAAAATGAAGACAAAAACAGATGACAAATAATACATATGATGGTAATAAATGCAATAATAATTATTATAATATTTATCATCTACATCATTTTTCATATTTTACTTTTTAAATTAAACTAAAGGTACTAATAATGATAACCCCCGCCTCCCATATGAATATAATTGCAGTGTCAATGTTTTGCTCTGGAAAATCCAAAATATATGTCAGATCAAAAAGTAAAATATGAGGTGCAAAATGACAATATGTAATAAAGATTCTGTGAAAGTTTCATAAAATTTCCTAAAGTGGTATGAGAGGAGTTGCGGGTAAGAGATGGGTACCCCAAAGCGTAACAGACGGACGGACATACCGATTACTATATACCCTCCCGCTTTTCAAGCGAGGAGTATAAAAATATATTTTAAAATATACATGTTATAACCAATACTACTTCATCTACTATATAAAATATTTGTATTTATAAATATGTTATTTTTTTTTATCAAATAAGAACAAAATATTTCATAATCAACAATATCATATAGTAATTGCCTTTTATACTGACAAGATAAATTACCTGTAACGGAAAAGAGAAAGATTCCAATAAGTAACCTAAAAGATATCATTTCAGGTTTTTTTTCATTACAGTTACATGTTGAGGTAATCTCAGGAGGGAAATATATTGAAAAGCTGAAACAAGAAAAAGATCACGACGGGATTTAACTTCGTTTCTTTGTATACACTGTATATAATAATAAGGAAAGGGGATGTTAATGATCTGTACGCATTTCCTATATGTAATATTTTTTCCTGTAAAATGAATATTACTAATATATTTTTGCACATAAGTTTAAATCATTATTCAGTTTGTTTGATTTTAAAGAGACTGTAAGTTTGTTAAATCAATATGTATGTCATAAATCTCGTTTGTTTTACGACAATAACAAAGCTTAGAAAAGGTTTTACCAAAAAATACGTGTCCTTTATGTAAATGATATATTAGGATATTTAAAATAGAAATAGATGCAGTTCATATCATATCAAAAACTTCCAATTCAAACTATTTTGAATACTTCGCAGTTTTTATTAAAAAATATTTATCAGGCATGAAGCTTATTTTAACCTTAAAAGCGTTTTGTAAGATATAACATAAAGCGGTTTATAAAAAAGCTAAACTGTCCAAAGTTACGTTTTATCGTATAACATATCAATAGGTTAAAAAATATTTTAGCTTCATTCCTCATTTAATTTCAGTATATACACTTTTTCCTCTAAAAATGATTTAAAATTGGGCGTATTTTAAAAAGTAGCGTCAAAAAGAGTAATACATTTTTTACCTAATCAGTGCAATGTAACGTTAGGCAAAGTATGTTATATGATACAGAGTAAATCTTTTATCTCATCAAATGACGTATATTTCTTAAATTATCTTTTATGTGAAATAAGATTTTTAATTAATTTGTGTGTGAAATGCTATTAAAATATATAAGTCGTACATGTAATATTATAGAGAAAATAATAAATTCAAATCTGTGTCCAAGTACCTTTAAATTATACATATGAAATTGATGCAATACCAAATTTCACAATTGGAAGTATATAATATATTATATACGTGCTATTGTTCAAGTTAATTATGGTGTAGTGTGGGAATGTGTCTGTTGATTAATGAGATATTTTTTGTACAAGAAAATCGCAATTCTTTTATTTTTGAGAGAGAGAGAGAGACCTTTCGAAAGAATTATTTAAAATGTTTATTACATTACAGATCCATTGATTTTCCCTGTATTCTATAGACACTGAAAAATCAGTCAGGCTTCCTTTGACGATACACTCGACATAAATTGATAATCAATGTTGTAATTAACAATCACGATATTAATTGTGAAATCGTATACCTTACAAACATTTTTATCAAACTCAATCTTGTCATCAAAGAAAGTAAGCAGGACTATGTTTTTTTCTTTCATCACAAGTACCAGAATTCCATAAATGTTAAACAGATGTCATGCATTACAAAAACATGATCCAGTCAGCCAAATAATTCAATTTGTGCAACAAAAAAAAAAAACAACTTTCGTGGATGACTGACAAAAGAAATACGTAAACAGAAATTGAAATATAAATTGGCCCATAAACATTTCATTTCCAAAATGTTTTTAAAATATTTTTCAATGACATGAATGTTTCGTTTGCAAACAGTGGGGAAATGCTGGGAACGCCATCCCTATAACCACGAAGCAGGTAGAGTTTTACTCGCATGTAACACCGGCATCCTCAAAATGATAACAATTATGGCTTCCTATTGGGGAATGTTCACATAACAGCAGATGAGATTCCGACCTAGAGCACTTTACACCATCTAACCAGATAGGGCCCTCACCTTCCCCAAAATAGGCAGCTGTTCTTGGAGTGGCGATACTGAAAGTAAATAAATGATCAGTCTAGTGGCAGTTCAAAGTAAGTTACAGCTATAAAGCATGAAACAAATATTTCTTTAAAAGGTATGGAAAGCCACTTGGAACCCTTAAGTCATATTGTATATAATTCATTGCAATTCTTGCCAAGTCAGGATTTTAAACGATTAACCACCCCATGATATTTAAATTTACATGTATAATCTTGACCAAGTCAAGATTAATAACATGGCCAAATCAAGACTGATAACATGGGTCCCTTGTGGCTTTCCATAAAACACTTACCCGGTATACCCCAACATTAGGCAAACAACCCGAGCTTCTGTTTCCGTCCAAGAATCATCACAAATGGTTCCCCATGTGTTGTTGATAGAAAGTTCAACCCTGCCTTCGTTTGGCGTACTTCCGCTTTGTAATCGTATTGAACCTTTAAAACGATCGTCAAACCAAAACAATCTTATATACGATAAGCATAAAAGAGAAGTTGAATTATAAATATATAAAAAATATTAAGATTTCCCATTGTGGTGGTATATTTAAGGTTTGATCAACAAATTACAGCAAATTTGTTAATAAGATCTGTAATACCCAGGAATTCACAGATCAAAGAAAGAGGTGACCATTTCCCTCCGGGTGTACAGGTTGTTGTGTTCCCTTGACCTACGGCAATGTAGTTCTGTTGACAGCCAAATGTTACAGAAGGAGGATTATAGTTCTGACGTAGAATGATTCCATTTTCCAGGAAAGGGACAGGTTCTGAACATTCTTAAAAGACACATTTACGGTACTTAACTTAAGACATATATAACAATGTATGATTCTATTATTTGAGAATCGTTACACAATTGAGAAAAATTCTAAATATATTTAATTAATAAATATAGGTACCGAAGAATTTAATTAATAAATACAGGTAACCAAAAAACATTACGATGCATGACTACAATATTTATTATAAATATACTGATATATTTATATGAAGCCAACACAAATTATTCTATTGTAAAATATGTTCAAAATATTCATTATAAAAAAACAATTGTTACATACAAATGTTTTAATTCATAGTGCCTGAAGCTAAAACAGCATTTTCCCTCCATTAAATGTTAAATTTTCTTCTGATTAATATTTAAATTAAAGATTTTGCAATAAATTTCTCATAGTATATACGCATTTGAACTACCGGTAATTTGAAAGTGAATTGCGACAGTAAACAAGTTTTATATACATGCTAAAAATACTTGATATGCTGAATCAAACGTAATTTCTTTCGGGTTTTTAATGTGCTTGCCAAGCATATTCCGTACGCTTTTTAATTGTCATAGGATATGAAAAAACAATGTTTTAGAAGAAATCTCGTATGCTGATAACGAACAGTGATTTAGCCCAAAAGTCCAGTCAAATGATATTAATTTAACAATGTAAGTGAAGTGTGCCTGCAATTCTAATTAATTTATTTCCAAAATGTCCTTGAACAGAAAAATTACCTACCTGTAGCAATGCAGATTTTCTTGGTTGATGACGTAGAAATACAGTTGGAATAATTGTTACAAAATGAATCTCCACAAAGTGTTCTGCTGTCATCCTATAATTATAACATACATAATGAATCTCCACAAAGTGTTCTGCTGTCATACTATAATTATAACATACATAATGAATCTCCACAAAGTGTTCTGCTGTCATCCTATAATTATAACATACATAATGAATCTCCACAAATTGTTCTGCTGTCATCCTATAATTATAACATACATAATGAATCTCCACAAAGTGTTCTGTTGTCATCCTATAATTATAACATACATAATGAATCTCCACAAAGTGATCTGTTGTCATCTTATAATTATAACATACATAATGAATCTCCACAAAGTGTTCTGTTGTCATCTTATAATTATAACATACATAATGAATCTCCACAAAGTGTTCTGTTGTCATCTTATAATTATAACATACATAATGAATCTCCACAAAGTGTTCTGTTGTCATCTTATAATTATAACATACATAATGAATCTCCACAAAGTGTTCTGCTGTCATCCTATAATTATAACATACATAATGAATCTCCACAAAGTGTTCTGTTGTCATCTTATAATTATATCATACATAATGAATCTCCACAAAGTGTTCTGTTGTCACCCTACAATTATAACATACATAATAAATCTCCACAAAGTGTTCTGTTGTCATCCTACAATCATAACATACATAATGAATCTCCACAAAGTGTTCTGTTGTCATCCTATAATTATAACATACATAATGAATCTCCACAAAGTGTTCTGTTGTCATCCTACAATTAAAACATACATAATGAATCTCCACAAAGTGTTCTGTTGTCACCCTACAATTATAACATACATAATGAATCTCCACAAAGTGTTCTGTTGTCACCCTACAATTATAACATGCATTGATCTGATCTGGACGTTCGAATTTTTTTCTTAAATTAATGTTTTTACTGTGTTATTTTTGTACAAATATAAAACTACAGCTGTATAATAAATATTTAAAATCCTACATCATACTTGTAACAATTAGAGTTATGTACTCACGTCTTTTGTTAGTTCTTCAAAAATATAGTTGCTCTCATCGACAAACCGTGTTGATGAGTTTCCCAAAACATTAAGCAATTCACATTCGAACGTTTTCCGATTGAAATTGATAGACAAGCACGACGGGTGTCTTTCGCATTGTTTCAAACAGAGTCGTAAGCCTACACCTTTAACGATTTTGATAGGATTCACAGGAAGTTTCCTTCCTACAACTTTGTCTACATTGAAACTGATACAAGGATCGCTAGACTGAATAAAAGGAAATACTATACTGAAGATGAAACATGTGAGGTTCGTCAACATTTTTACTCAGAATAAGGGGCTAGGTCTCAATCTTCAAACCTCAAAATCTCTTTTGTTCTATCCGCTTCTCTCCAAGTTATTATATGTACTTTTTTGCTTAAGGCACTATTGTTTCAAATTATATAGAGTTTCACTTAAAATGATTTGTTCGATTTGGATCATTTTATAATTACCTTTATTATAAATGGAGAAAATTAAAGTTCTTTCAATAGCTCTCACACATCTACTTTCAGCTGTCTTGAATTCCAAAATCAATATTAAAAAAAAAGAGAACAAACGTAATAATTACGGGTTTCGGGTTTCCATTTCATTTTTCAAAGCTTTTAATTAACTGTCAATGTTTTTGAAATACCAGTAATAGAATAAAGTATTGTAGCTTGAGTCATGTTATAGAGCTTCTTTTAATGTTTAGATAGGAGGTTATCGGGATAAGACCAGGGGATAAATTGATGTTGACACTAGGAAAAGACAGGTGT